ATGTGTCTGGCAAACTCAAAAACCAATGCATCTGTGAGGTTTCAGTATGCAGCTATCCTCACTCAACACGTCTAGGTGTCGGGCAGTCGCAGACGTCACTCAACCCGTTAGGTCTCAATATGCAGCCATCCTCACTCAACGCGTCCATGTGTCCGGCACTAACCAACATCACTCAACTCGTGAGGTTTCAGTATGTAGCTATCCCCACTCAGCGCGTCTATGTGTCTGGCAAACTCAAAAACCAATCCATCTGTGAGGTTTCAGTATGCAGCTATCCTCACTCAACACGTCTAGGTGTCGGGCAGTCGCAGACGTCACTCAACCCGTTAGGTCTCAATATGCAGCCATCCTCACTCAACGCGTCCATGTGTCCGGCACTAACCAACATCACTCAACTCGTGAGGTTTCAGTATGTAGCTATCCCCACTCAGCGCGTCTATGTGTCTGGCAAACTCAAAAACCAATCCATCTGTGAGGTTTCAGTATGCAGCTATCCTAACGCAACACGTCTAGGTGTCCGGCAATTNGGGGGGGGGGGGGGAAGATAGAAAAAGCGGTGTAGCGGAGGTTGTCCGATAGACAACGCATCAGCCAACGTCCATGCAGCTGTGTTGAGAGGGAGGTTTAGTTTACCTTTTCTGGGACGACACGCGCTATCCTAGCTTAGGGCTATTAACTTTTCTTAAGCTTGTTCGACTTCTCCTACTCGACGCTACGCCTGTTTCTAACACTGGGTCATTTTTACGTCAACTCACTCTACGTTGTCTGGGGTACCTACCTTCCCGCCGCCGTGTTTCTTTTTTGTAACATGTCGCGACGTTACCTCGCCCTCCGCTGCCTCAGATGGAGACAGCCCCCAAGACAGAGCTGCTGGCCAAGACTGTGGTCTGCGGAGGAATGCACACGGCCGCTCTTACCTCCGAGGTGTGAAATCTTTGTCTATTTAGTCGCGATCTCGGGACGAATTTCAGTACGTCTTGTCTGCAAAACGCGCCGCCACCTCAGCACAATCTGGGGGGGAGTTGGGAAATGCAGGCTCAAGAGGAGATAAAACCAACGAACTTGATAGTAGGAACAGGAGCTCAGTCAAGAACCCTACTGTATACTGAAACCTACTACCTGTTCGGAAGTATAGAGAATTGTGGTTTTGCGCTTGTATCCGAATGGCCCTTATGTTTTCATTTTTCGAACAGAGTGATGTATAGTCGCTGCGGGTTTGCCGTTTGGAGGAAGTAAGAAGATGAGCCTCGGACAGCAAAAGTGGTCGTTAAGTAGGTGGCGTGTGCTGTGCTGTTCGGCCTGTAGCCAGCTCTAGTTTTTTTTCGTGCCCATGCCTCTAACCGCGGGACAAACCCTCCTCTATTTCGTCTCGTCCATGGAGTCGTTCGCAACTGCTGCAGGACACGTGACACAGAATGTTGTTCACCAGAGACCTTAAGGACGTCTCTACCCTCTCTCGAAAGAACGACTGATCCCACCTTATTGTTTCCCAGGCGTCCATGTTTCTCCCGGTCTAATGCGCACCTCCCTCCTAGAATACTGTAGTTCTAGAATAGTGTTTGCTAGCGCACCATCCTCTCGCCGCCTTCAGGAAGCCAGCTTGCGCTGCCCCTGTGCACTGACTACTCAATTGTCCATGACTCTGGTGTAGGGGGTTGTGTACTGCTGGGGGCGTGCGGACAGCGGGCAGCTGGGGATCGGCGCGGCATGGGTCCACGAGACTTCGTCAGGGGTGATGGGCGTCGAGTGGCCGAGGAGGGTTCGCGGGTTGCTCGAAGGCCGCCGCACGGTGAGGCAACGCCTTGATGATGTTGTTGTCCCGCGGTTGGAAGCCTTGGTAAGCGACAACGTGCCTAGTGAGGTTTGTGTTTTGTGGGCACGTCACAAAGGTCTCAGAGACAAAGCTACGATATTACTTCGGAAAAACGATGGCTTGGAGCGTGGGTATGTTGACGTCTTGTGTTTTTTCTATTGCGTGGTTTTTTCAAGACAGTTCGTGGTGCGGGCCGCGCGAGGGCAGTCGGGAGGAGCTTTGACGAGTGTAGGTTATTCGTCTGTGTTGTTGTTATTGATGATTGTGGTGCTGGTGCTGCTGCTGCTGCTTCTGCTGCTGCTGCTGCTGCTGCTGCTGGTGTTGTTGTACATGGAGATGCATGACGCCGACATAGTACCCTCCCCACTCCCCACGCCTATCATTTTCTCCGAAAAACAAAGGAATCGATCGCGTGCGGCGGTTTTCACACGGCGGCGGTGACGACGGATGGGGAGTGCTACACGTGGGGCAAGGAAGACTTCGGGATGCTTGGCTGCAGCAACGAAGCCCTTCTGAAGGTGACGGGTCTCCAACACAATTGAACCATCCACAGTACGGAACATGCGCTGACGCCGACATCACGATGATCCGGGACACGTTGTACCCTATACAGCGGCAGACATTTCACGGGAATGGTTGAACGCCGCAGTTTTCGGAGCCGCGTCGTGTGTGGTGGATATCTCGCTTGCTGGACATCTGCAGAAGTCGAGATATGTGGTAACGCCGAGGTGAAAAACCTGACGATGATGCACTTCTGTGGAACCTGTGCTAACTTTGTTGTCAGTGGTACACCCTCGCCATCTAGCAAACTTACATCTAATTACCTCCGACACGTGTCGCCGTGTCTTCCTCTCCCCCTCCCTCTCCTCTTCTGGCTCACCCCTCCCCCCCCCTCTTCATGACCATTGCAATTGCCTCGACCCTTGTGCTTGTCGCTGGTGGCGTACCCCCCCGTGCTGACCTTCTGCTCTCTCTGGATAACAAAAGGGTGGTCTCTTTCAACCCCACCGCGTCACGCTGCAGGACATGACAGGCGTCTCTCAAGAGGAGGTGCGGAGTGAACTACCGGACCCTACTACAGGGGTGCAAAAAAAAGGGGGCGTTTGCTATTTTCTGAAGTACGGTCAGGCATCGTCGACGCCCGCAATAGTGGTAGAGTTTTGTTGCTAGATGGATCAGGACGGGAGCGATCTACAACCATGTTGTGTTGAACGGATTGAGTTGGAGAGTGAATCGATGTGTCATCAAAAAGCCAGTATGGTTTTCAGGGGATCCATGGCAAGCACGCACACTGCCTTGTTACCGCAGCCGACGTACCAACAGTGGGCAAAAAGATGTGCGTTGTTACAACTGCTCAGAGCCTTGTGTACCAAAAACACCTTTCGACACAGTCTAAATCTTCAGCGCAACACATTTCTATATTCTCGACTATCAATTTGGCATACATGCACATGCAGCACGTCCCCTGGGTCGAGGTAAGCGCCTAAATAGATGGAGAAACGAGGCTGTGAGGTCTGTAGCAGAAGCCTGTTCTTGAAGGCCGGAGAAGCAAGGCCTCATCGTCCGTAGCGCTTCCGTGATTGATCTCTCGGTTCTAGAGGAAAACAGCGCGGGCTGCAGCAAGCAGCAGCAGGCCGCGTTTCAAAGTCTGAGTTTACGCCAATTATCTCGGCACGGAAATGCAATGCACCTGGAACAATCTGTCTTCAATACCAGAAAACCATGGTGTGAAAGAAAGGCTGCAAGAAAACGACGCGGGGTTCTTTCTCTGCGTTTGTGTGTACTGCCTTGTGTTACGTGCTCTCTCGTTGAGCAGCAGGGGAACGGCTCCGGTAGTGGAAGGCAGAAGGCCAAAGCAGTCGCCTGCGGGGGGTGGCACACGGCAGTGGTCGGCGAGAAGGGCGGGGTGTGGATGTGCGGGAGGGGAGAGTACGGACGCCTCGGCCTCGGAGACCAGAAAAGCCAGGTACAACAGAGGTGGTGGGGGTACCTCAAAAGTGCCGGTATGCGCATGCCAGATTCACTGGCACTATACCGGGCATCCGGCACAACTTGAGACAACTTGACTACTTGATTCCATCCGTATCACGCCATTTCACGTGCATGATATCGGGCAACGGCATCATTGAGGGACCCCCACTGTATTGTACGGGGGAACGGCGAATGCAGCTGCCTCGTATGCCCAACTTCGGGTTGTCGGTTCCTACCCCCTCCCCGTGCGTGCGCAAACGAGCTTGCCCGCCTTTCGTTGGTGTTGTGTCCGCCGGAATGCATGACTCGCGTTGTCGGGCGTCACCGCTGCCGGTGTTGTTTGTACTGCCGTTCGCGTCAAGCCTCCTGCCGCTTCTCGCACGATCCAAATCGTCGTTTACCCCTTGCAGAGGAGGTCGGATGCCACAGCGGTGTAATAAGCTTGCTCAACTCGTTCAGAACAAGTAGGCAGACATCTGGTACCACAGCTTTCATGCTTCGTGGCCCCTGATCTCATCTCACGCCTGCACGTCGTACAGTCGTCCCTCCGGTAAGGACACACATGGTTTTTCATTTAAACGGGTGTCCTTAAGCCTGGGAAGTGTCCTCAAGGTTGGTACTTCCTCTGCTCATGTTGTGCATTCTGCGAGTAACCGTGCCTGCGAAAAAGAAGTTGCCCTTAACAGGGGCAGTGTCCTTAAAAATGGTGACGTTATCCGAGGGATGACTGTTCTGTTTTTTTCCCTCCAATCGTTGTCGCGCAGTGGCACCTCACTCCGGTCCCACTTGAGAGGAGCCCCATCCCTGCCCCGGTCCCGCCATCACCGAGATCGGCAGCAAGCGCCGGTTCCGCGAGCGACAGGCCGGGCGGGGCAGTACACGGTTTCGGGGGCACCGTAGATTCTAGTGCTGCCGTCGTGCCGCCCTCTCCGCCACCGGTGGCGAAGATTGGAGAGGGGGCGGCGGTCCGGACGACGGATCCGGCGAGCATGGTTGCTCTCGGCGGGAGCCACTCACTCGTGATGACGTCATCAGGGCGGGTGTTTGGGTTCGGCAGGCAGGACGACGGCAGGCTTGGCGTGGAGGTGAACACGGTACGAGAGAGGACGAGAGCGGCGGAGTAGTTCGTGAAGGCTTGGCAGTAGCTACTTGGAAGTTTTCCTTTGGTGTGAGCGAGAAATTAGTACCCCCTAACTTGCAGGGATGATTGCGCTAGTCCAAGTTCGCTTGCATCTACAAAAGCAGAGGGGCAGAACAATGTGCTGCCGCCGTTGTAGGCCATTGAGCGAGGGGTAGGGTATTTCGAATCCTACGCCCCCGTCTCGACTCTCCTTTCAAGGTGGTTGTATGATTTTGGGCACAGAGAAGACGCTTCGAGAGCAATACATTGAGACTTGGCGCTTACGTGAGTGTTTCATGTGTAGACGAACATGGTCTTCGGGTGTCGCCATCTTGGATTTGCCAAGTGATGATGTGTGCCGGTAAGTATTTCTCCCACATTCCCATCTTGCTTTCATCACAGGAGGGGGTCGATTCAGGCAGCATGCTTCCCCTGGAGATCTCGAACCTGCAGCTAGAGGGTTGGCGCGTGCAGTCCATCAGCGCCGGAGGGGTGCACTCGGCCGCTATCCTCGCTCGCCGTCCGGAATAAGCGGTAATTCTCTCGGAGTGGAAATGAAAGACTTGGAAGTATTTTTCCCAGAGTTGAAATGTACGATAGCAGTATCATTAATGTTGACAAAGCAGTCCGGTGGGAGAGACTGCTAGGTCCTTGCCCTATGTAGGTTCTACAGAAGAATCTTGAGGTTTATTGGCCTAAAGTTACCCAATAGGATTTGGTAGATGAATGAAGAGGCGTGGATTGAGACGCCTTACGTCGTGCGGTCCCGTTGCCCGTGCTTTCACTTCTCGAAAAGTAAAGGTGGATTCATGCCAGAAGGTAGAACGGTTCCAAGGGCCAACAAGGGTTGGAGCAGCACGCGCAATCGCTTTCAGGACTGGAGAGTTGAGGACTTCAAGCTAAACACAAGATAACGCACTAGAATTTGACCGTAGGCCAAGGCGCTCAGCTACGAGCCCCACACAATGACCTACTTCTTTTGTTTTCGCTTTTGAGTTGCCGCGCATAGGACCGAACACCGAACCGATGGCAAGATAGAGGTTCTCGACTGATTGGCGACATCTGCATGCGTTTGACGTCGTTGCTTCTTCGCTGATTGGCAACACAGCAAGCGAGGTAGCGTCCTCTGTCCGCCCGCGATATGTCTCGAGATGAAAGTTTTACGTTGCGTTTCAAAGACGCACCGGCTGCTGTTGTTGTAGATCTTTTTGTTGCTGGATCACAACCTACAGGAGAAGCGACTTGTTCTGAGTTGCTTGTGACTTTTTTTGAAGAACATGGTGTATGTGCATTCTAAAATACCATCATTGTGGATAGACTCCTTTCTCCTCATGCCCTGGAGCACGCGGGAGAGCATTCCGATGGCGCTCACCCAGTCGCACCACGATCACGTACAACGGGACGAGGTCAAGAAGGTTGACACCGACGGCATCGAAGAAGACCATCATCTGTCTATATGGCGACCTCGACAACGCCGGACGGCAGAACGCGTGACACCCTGCCCCTGTCTTGACCCGGGAGACGCTATCCCGCCAACTCTCCTACTTGAGCATTGCCGTGTTGACAAGCGGGTGTTGTTGATACCCTCGGGGTGACACCGGGGTGACCCAAGGCAATGATCTCGATGCACAAAGGCATTTCAAAAGCGCTTTGATTGCTGCAATGCGTTTTGAAGATTCCGTTGAGCATATTGGACATAGTCTTGACCCACGCCGGTGTCGCCCCGGGGGTATCAACGACACCCATTTGTCAACAGGGCAACACCCACGCTGGAGAGTTGGCGGAATAGCGTGTCCCGAGGTCAAGACAGGGGTACGGTAGGGATAATTAATACCACTCGAGTAGATCATGAAACATCCACAGGCGAACTGTTCGCCGCACGTACCGCAACGGCGGCAGAGGGGGTGATGATTGAACACGTGGTACCCAACACCCGTATTGACCCCGCGATAGACTCTATACAATCCCGCCAGTTCTGTTGCGTGGACAGAGCCGTGTTGAACAAACGGGGTCATCGATACCCCCCCAGGGTGACCCCAGGATGGTCCACATGGCCATGACCTTCATGCGCGATGGGGCTTTGGCAGATGCCGTCGTACATGGTGGTCACAGTCTTGGACCAACCTGGGGCTGCTCCGGGGACATCGATTTTTGCCCTTTTCCAACAAGGCCATCTCCACGCGCAGGAGAATTGGAGGGATAGCGTGCCCCGAGGTCAAGACAGGGGCATGTGGTTTTTTTCCATCACTTTGAATCAGCGCTCACAGCATCGCTGCCGGGTAGGCCCAATCCGTCGTCACTTAGAAGGGTTGCCCCCCCTTAGCCCCCCTACTCATCCCTCTTGCGGTGCTACGTTCGATGTTTCATGCGAGGCAAAGAGTACCTCTCTCTTCCCTCAAAGTCTACATACGAGCTAACAGCTAGCGCCAATTGCAAAACAGGTACCACGAATGGAAGTGAGGGAAAAACTCACTTTGACGAAAATCTTATTGACGCCGGCATGCGAACCCCTGACCCTGGCCATGTAAAAGTTTCGAGTATACCAATTGGACTACCGGGGCGACCGGAGCATGGGCAAAGAAAATCTACGCACATATCCTGAGACATTGATCGGCGAACCGCTTTCGCTGCACGTACCACAACGGCGGCCGGGGGGGGACACAACGCGTGATACATGCGTCTCCCTGTCTTGACCCCGGGAAAGGCGCTATCCCACCAACTCTCCTGCGTGGACCGAGCTGTGTTAATTAACGATGTCATCGATACCCACGGGGGCGTCCCCAGGGTGGTGTACACGACCATGACTTCCATGCACGATGGGGCTTTGCAGGTGCCGCCGTGGACCAACCTGGGGGCCGCCCCGGAGATATTGATTACACCTTTTCCAACAAGGCAATGCCCACGCCGGAGATTTTTTGGCGGGATAGAGCCTCCCAGGGTCAAGACAGGGGCAGAGCAGAAATCGTTAGCACTCCCTGAGGTATTGATCGGCGAACCGTTCGCTGCCCGCAACGGCGGCCGGGGGGGTAAGGATAGGGGAACGTTCCGCGGCGTGTTGTATGCCTCCCACCACGCAAGCAGAGCGACAGGTACATCAGGAGCAGTATCGATATTGACACATGTTGACGGAACAGTTATCGTCGTCGGTGCTGGTTTTTGTTGCGGTTGTAGCGGTTTTGCGTCTTGGGTCGCCTGACTTCACGTCTTCGTCGTAGGCTTTTTTGTGTCCATAGACTATGGCCCCAGGTCTTCCTGCGGGTGCTGCATGTGCACCAAGGACGTCCCTTTGGCGCCTGACCTAGAGGAGGCTGCCTGACAAGAAGTTCGCGAGAAACAAGACTCTGAAAGGCCCACCCGCAGACATAAATTCTCTGGCAAGGGACGTCCTCGTCGCACACACAGCAAATGCAACGAGACCCTTTGGGCATCTCCTGCGGGTAGTCTTTCTGTGACTGATCAGATTGCATATTTTTTAAGAACGCGCGCAACGAAACGCGAAGCTGTCCCAGGCAGTCAGTCAAGTCAAGACGCACAGCCTCTGCAACCGCAGCACGACGACGACCTCGATGACGACGAACAACCGCCGCAACCGCGAGACAACGACGAAGTATCGAAGGATAAAGATGTTGCCCAGCTGATGGTGGTGCGTTTGCAGCAGTTGGATATCCCCTGCAGTGAAGAGAAAACATAGCACGACGTACTGCTACTGCTGTTAAAGTCAAGTACATAGTGCCGCTGCAGTGCACCAGAATAAAGGAAGAGGAAGGATGGCCGCCCGCCGCCCGCCGCTGCCTCCTCTGGAAGCCTGGAGCCGTACATAGTTACGCCGCACCCGCGTGTACAGTTAAGCCGCACGCCGCTAAAACGTTTTTCAATCCGCCGCACGAGCACGAGCGCGTCAACCACATTTCCCACAACCTTAACTCACCTCTCCCACACAGCAAGCACCGGAGTTAGCAGCAGTCCCGGCACAATTCTAACTCTAACGATGGGGTTATGTTTTATCATAGCCACGGGTTGTTTGACTCCACTCGTAGCTGCAATAACTTCGTTGTCAGCAAGAACCGACGTTGACCTCCAACACCTCGCAAGTTCAATTTCCGCCGCCAGGGAAGAAGCTCGTGTCGATGGCCGAATTCAGCCGCAGCAGCGGCAGCGATTAAGCCTGCAGCATCTCGAGGCAATGTGGCACACCAGTCTAGGGGTACAGGTGAGATACAGACCTACCCCAGCGTGTACTGTATTTGAGCAGACAAAGGTCAGGTGACTTCGGTGAACATAGGCCTCGGAAAGGAAGACGGTCCGGGAACAATACTTCTATAATATATCATCCTATTATGGTTGCCCGAAGAGCCCAGAGTCACCTCATCATTGACAGGGGTAGGAGCAAGTTATTCGCTGGTCCGTCTGCATAGATTGTGGTATGGGTCTGGAGAGAACCTTCTCCATCGAGCCGGGCGATAGAGACGCATGACTAGCGAGCAAGAAGAAACACTGATGTCTCATGAACCACAGCCCACATCGTCCAGAAGGCTTTTGCACTATGATAATTTGTACTTCGTATTCGCCTATTTCATTTTGCGCTGCTGTCGTTACCCATGTATAGCTGGACGATTCTTCTTCGGTACGCGAGGAGGCATACCGAAGTATCGTGGACTTCCAGTGGGCGATACTAGCTTCCCAAGACGACGCAAACCAAACGCAGCAGTCGTCGTCACTCGCCGGACAAACCAGTGAGAGTGATTCGTTGACGCCGCTCTCACGGTCTCCGTTCTTGGTGTGCGGTGACCGTCATCCAGACGCGGTCCTTGCCGTAGAGAGCGTGGTTCATCGTGCCCGAACTCAACTGGCATACTCTCGAGGCGATACGGTGTGCTTGCTGGCGGGGCTTCGCCTTGACGACGTTGACACCGTGCGGCGGTCCGAAACGGTTCACGTGGTTGAGCCTTTGCCACAACCAGCGAAGCTTTCGCGAAGTCTCCACGCTAAGCTCGACGAACCTCCAAAATCCCCGGTCGGTGTTGTAAACAACGATAGTTTCTCCCCATCAAATAGAAATTCCGGCGACGACGGTGAAACAAGAAAAAGAGTACTGCCCGTGGCAGCGACAGAGAGAGCAGGTGGCGTGCCATCACCTGCGACTCAACAAACAGAATCAGGGGAAACAGTAATCAGCGATAACGATGGTCAGCAGGGGCAGCAGCAGCGGCGTGTCCGATTTAACCACGGCGAAGGACTCCCTAGCGATCTCGATGTCTCCCTTACGCCTGGTACGTGGGGTCTAGACATGGCTCATACATGGGTCGAGCACCTTACCAGCTTTGAGTCTACGGCACACCTTTGGGGCGAGCACTTGCGTGATCGATTCGTTTGGACCCACCATTCTCCTGTAGACGAAGACGAGGGAGCTGTACGGGAAGGTGCAGGAGATTCGGACGGGAAAGAAAGGCGGGGCTTGAACGTTGACGAAGCACCGACAAGTCAGACACGTCTGCATCGCGCTCAGAATACTCTGATTGGGTCTCACGGCTTGACAGATCTAGGAAGCTTATGGGAACAAACCGTCGACCAAAGCAGCAAGGACGGAGCTTGCGACTTTCGCCGTCTTGGTGCATCGTCGGCCCCAGAGGAGAGCTCTAACGCAGGATCCAACACCAGAGACTACAAAGGACATGCCGGTCCGCACGGAACAACACGACGCCGCCGGGACAGGAGGCCAGGCCCATCACAGAAAGACCCCGTCGGCAAGAAGAGAAGTGGGGGGGGAGTCAACGACAGAGTAGTCCTGCGAGGCGCGGATTCACTCGGGAACACGCCTGAGGACAACGCCCACTGCCTGCTGACCGTCCTAGCGTACCTCGTGACGCGACCCGAGGTGTCCTACGTGGATGACCTGCCGCAGGTGTTCGAGCTTAACGTGGAGGCCGCCTGGATTACGCAGAGCGGAGAGGAGACTGCGTACTCGATGTGGAACGAGGGAATCGACGGAAGTACCGAGGTACGCGACAAAGGGCAGGGTTGACCCTGGTGTGGCCGGTTACTTGACGAAGTGCTGCATACCCCCTAGGGTCAGGAGTGATCTGAATTTTCTTCAGCCTAGGCAGAACACATGTGCATATGCAAGTATAATGGGCTGCGCGCTGTGCGAGTGAAAAATGCGAAGCACAAATACGTTCAAAGACTACCGCACACACTCTGCGGGGAAATCTTGTAGAAGTAAACCAAGGTGTTGGGATGAAAGGGGAGCTCTCGTTTTCCACGAGAAACACGTCTGTTTGGCGACGTTGATGTAGCTGAGAGAGGCATGGTTGGGTGATACGGCGATACATATCGACCTGCGCCCTTGGGGGTTCGTGGGTGCACAGCATGTGTGAGTTGAACCTTTGTGAAGAAGTATTCTTAGACTCGAGTACTTTCTGTCTCGTTCTTGACCACTCTGGCAACAAACAAGCGTATTTGGGCCGCCAGTCTTCCGCGAGAAACACAACTCTTGACTCTTTGCGAAACAAGCCTTTACGCCCTCAAGTAGCTGCTCTTTTGCGGCAATCCACAATGATGGCTACTGCCTCGCGATTTGAGTTGTCATTTTGTCGGGGTAGGGCGGTGCCCATATTCGTTCGCCTGTGCGGGTACTAACGTGTATCTTCTTCGACGATAGATAATTGCTATGGCGGACTCGGGCCTAGACGTCAATTCGTGCTTCTTCACTGAGGACCACACCGACGACAACATCGACTGTTCCTCCTGGTCGAACCCCGTCTTCGACCTCACTAAACGCAAGGTGAGATTCGCCCTGCCCAGCAAGTTGACGTGTGTTTTCTGGTATTCGGTGGGTGCACACTGCGGGTCGTGAATTGGAAAGCAGTTGCACGAGGCGACGGAGCTCGATAGCAGCGACGTCATCTTCTGCGTGTCAAGCGTGTGAACAAACTTCACCCTCGGCGGTGTGTTGTTCATCCACGTACGTTACCGTTGCACTTGATCGAGTGCGTCGTACCAATCGTCGGGCTCTAGCGACAAACCTCCTGGCAATAGCTTTCGCGCGTCTTCGTCTCGTGATGCATCCCATTAGGAACCACCCGAAACACGACAAGGCACACATCAAACCTTCCCAAGCATCCGCATGATACGCGCAAGGGGTGGCGACGTGGTAGAACCGCCGGTAGCGCACCCGAAAACATAACCGAACCCGCCAATTATGGCGATTATCTCCAATGGATCACGAAGGCACAACGACTCGATTCTTGGGCTCCTTGCGTGGAATAAAACCCAGCATTAATATGTCGCTGACTACGGCACGCCGGTAAAGCGCCGAGTCGTTTTACGGCGGCGCATTGCGTTTGTTTCTTCCAACTGTTGAAAGTTTTCAGATACCTCTCCGCCGAAGATGTTACCGCCTGGACTATTTCGAAGTCGGTTCACTAGGTTGGTGTTTTCATCTGTACTGCGTGTGGAACCAATTCGAGCTCACAATTCTGCCACAACCTGAAAGCCATTCCAGTATTTGTCCAAGCAGTAACGTCATCTGCCATGTCTCACGTACCCTCAAAATGAAACTCGGGTTTGTCTCGTGCGGCAATGCTTCATCGATCCGATCAGATAGTGCAGTACGTCGGGTTCGTTGACTGCGTCGACACCGAGAACGGCCACGGCACCCACGTGGCCGGGAGCGCTGCGGGGGGGTTGAGCAACTCGTCCCCTGGCGAACATTTCGGTGACGGGGTGAGTTTTTAAGCCGCACTTCGGAGGGTGTTGTCGGCGTCTTTGGCCTCTGCCTGGGGAGGGTAGAGGTTGGGGGCTGTTCCACTGAGCCCTCCTCCTGTAGACACTCTTTGCTTGGGGAGAAATGCAGCGAACGGCAACCACGCAACAGGAAAACAACAGAGGAAAATGATGAAACCCATCCACGCTGTGTTGTCGATGATTATGATTGTCGCTCGGGGAACATTGTGTATGACGAGCGAGTCCAACCTCCTTCGGGAACCACGCGTGAAACCGAAAGGGTGAGGAAATTTACGTGTTTTATGAATTGCAACCTGCTATCGCAATAACATTCAATTCATTGTTCATATCTCATGCACCAGGGCTGGTACAAAAGAAAACATGGCCGTTCTCGGTTGCGCGGGAATCCCAACCTCCCCACACGTGTCCGTCGCCCTCCTCCTCCCGCCCCCTCCCCCTAAACAACGACACATACCGACGTCTTCACTCGTCACGATTCTCGGCGGAATTTTCCTCGGCCAATTGGTTGGTCATTTCGTCCGCCTCTTTGGTCTGTGGACCGTTCAACCGGCGTATTCGCGGCGATGCCGATGGACATGGTGGTTTTCGTTCACGGATTCCCCTTCTTGGGGGGCCTAGACTGGCTTCGGCGCGAAGCTGGCGGTTTTCGACTTCGGGGACTCGGAGGGGGGCTTGGTCACTCCGACCAACCTCAAGGCAAGAACCAGACGGAGCAATCTTCGTGAGGGTTCGTTTCTGTAGGAAGGGCCTTGGTTACGAAAAACGAAGAGAGAGAATGAAAGCGATATTGATGGATGCAAGGAGAGAAGCGCGCTGCGACCTGAACCGGCACGATATATCTACGCGAAACCACGTCTATCTGTTGGGGATAACCGAAGTTTCTCGGGGCAAGACAACACGTATGTGGTGTATGCATGGAACAGGGGAAAAAATGCTACTTGAACAGTTTCAGGGACGTTCTATCGCTGCTCAGCCCACTTCAAGAGGAAATACTCTTGGTAAGCGCTTGGTGGTCTGAAAGACCAGAGAGAGAGGGAGAGAGCGAGAGAAACGATGAAAATGCAAACGTGCCCCGGAAAACTACATCAACTTCGCGAGGCGCTTTCATTCGGACACACTCTTCGAACAACAAAGCGACGACTTGCGGTAGAATGAGTAGCTGCGACGGGGAACTTTGACTCATGCGTTCCCAATAGCATGCAACAGCGGAATCGGGAATCGCATAACCAACAATACAGAATTCTCGTCCACTGAGAGATGGGCGAGACGTATTACTTACCCAAACACGAAGGGACCAAGGTGAAAGTTGCTCCAAATCGACACCAGCTACACGGCACATAACCACCAACGCTCGTTAGAACACCACCAAAACCTTTCTACTACTACCACCTTACGCACGCCTCTTCAGTCCCAGATGCTACAACCGCCTTACGACATCGGTGCTCGGATCAGCACCAACAGCTGGGGGGCCGTTCGGACGACCTACACGTCGCTGGACAGGCAGGTGGACGACTTTGCGTACCTGAACCAGGACATGGTGATCGTCGTCGCGGCAGGGAACTGCGGGGACCAAATCTCCGGCTGCCAGTACCAGGTGCCATGGATTGTGCCGTGTTTGTTGTGCCTCAACGCAGAGTTTGGACTCGGAAAGAAAATCGTGGAAATGGGAAGGCTCCAATTTCGTTAATTGATGCACTTCAGAAACGCAGAGAAAATCGATGAAGAGTGCCTGCATTGGTGCAAAGCAGCACCCAATATTAACATAGACTGAAGGTATGTCCATCATCACACACCGCAGAATGCCGACATCTACGGGTCTGGGTCAATTCTCTCCCCGGCTCTCGGGAAAAACGTCATCTCGGTGGGGGCTAGCGAAGCGAGCCCTAGCACAGCCGGCCTGGCCGACAACGTGGATGAGGTAAGAAAGGCATGCGTTCATGTGCACTGTTGTTGTATCATCCTTGACCTCTTCTTCTTTGCTCTCATATTCATAGCGGGAAAGCGAGATAAGTTCCGAAGCTTTTGCAGCGGTTGCCGCCTCCCCCAAGTGAGTGAATGGAAGGCACACGGCTACTACTTCGAGGGTATTGTTGTCGTTGTTGTTGTTGTTGTTGCTGCTGCCGTTCTACCTGCTACCATCTGTACCGGTCCAACTGACGCGGACGCCTTCCGTGGTCACAGGCCAAGCGTTCAATCAGACAAGTACCGGGCTCAGGATACGCACGTCGAAAATGCACCGGAAATTCCGACTACAGTACGTAGTGTAGTTGTAGCACGGTGCACTGAGCGTCCATGTCGTCGTTTACGCCCCTCCTCGCCCCCCCCCCCTTCAAGAAAACTTTCGGTATGTGTCAAGTAGCTGCAGGACGCCAGCAGCGACAGTTGCAGGACAAGAAGCGGCGGTCCATCCTGAGCGTTACATCGCTTGGACTCTGATCCCATCACTAAGAAAAGTTACCATCGCCATTGTTTACTGCCACGGAATGAGGCCTCTTGTGCCCTGTCCCCCGACTCTCCGCGAATGACTCCGGCACGCACGCCCATTCTCCATGGCCTGATGCTCTTCTGAGCCACCCGTCCCTCACTATTGGTTTGGAAAGGAAAGGCGTTGTTCCATAGTGTGGCAGACGAACCACAAATAAAAGTGAACGCAAGAGAAAATGAAGCAGAAGTGATGATTCGGACGAGTGGGGCTTGATAAGGAAACGAAAAGACGACGCTCTTCTTGTCTCAAGTGCGCTTTTAGCATAAGAATTTCCACGACACTGGCAAGAAGGTCGGCAAAAAATCAGGACAGCCTGGGCTAAAAATATCTACGGTTGTACTGGGTCGTAACACAAACATATCAGCATCAAGCAACCACATGAAATCGAAGAAAAACCGGGAACGAAGGTAAGAACGAAGAGGGATACGAACTAAAGGTGCTGAACACGATGATGAAAATTAGGTGGCGTACTTCTCGTCACAAGGGCCAACGGTCGACGACAACCGAATCAAGCCCGACGTTGTCGCTCCCGGGTACCACCTCTTCTCCGCATCGGTAAGAGGCAGGCCGGGGTTATCTCGTAGGGCATAAAGGATGTTGAAGACCCGTAGGTGCTGTCGACGACGATTCTTTCTGCGTCTCTGTCTGGAAAATAAATTAGAAAGCTAGATATTCGTGAGTTGCACTCTCTTCTTCTTCAAAGCCCATGTTGGTCATGCTGTCGACGACGATTCTTTCTGTGTCTGTGTCTGGAAAATAAAAAAGAAAGCTAGATGTTCGTGAGTTGCACTCTCTTCTTCTTCGAATCCCATGTTGGTCAAGCCTTGGGGGTTACGATCAACTGCTGTGACACGTAAGTCCCTTGTGTGGAAGAGAACTCGAATGTTCCACTTGTTTGAACTTGTTCAAGTGTGCAAAAGAGAGCATCGTCCTCGGCAGACGTTGGGAAGGTTGTTTCCCTCTATCAAGAAGGTGATCGATGTACAGTATATGTCCATGCAACACGTGGAGCGAGATGTATCTCTGACCAGTAAAAAATTGGCGACGAATACACAACCTCATGCCCACCACATGTCCAATCTCTTGCATCTAAAGATATATAAAGCAATCCCTACTTGTACGGCCGCGCGTACGGTGCCATGCTGTGTTAATTGGAACAGGCCAAACCTGACCAAGATTCGAGTTGCGAGATCGGACCCATGGCGGGAACGAGCATGGCGACGCCCGTGGTGGCCGGAGCTGCGGCCATGATAAGGCAGTACTTCGTTCAGGTAGGGCTCGCTATTTGCTGCAGCTGCTGTTGTTATTTGTTGTTTACTGTTATCGTCGTCGTCGTCGTCGTCGTCGTCGTTGGTTTTGTCGTTGTCGGTAGTTTTGTTGAGGCATTGGTGGTGTTGTTGCTGCTTTCGCCAACGTTTCGTTGTTGATACAGTGGTATTTTTCATAAATAGGCTGAGAGTCGTCCCTCCATAACTTTTGACTGGAGTGTCAGAAATTCATAAAAAAGGTACATATCGTACGCCCGCGACGAGGCGGAGACGGGTAGAGGGGTTGAGAGCAAAAAAAAAAAAAAAAAAAAAAAAAGTCACTTTTGCCGGGGCTCGAACCCCGGTCCTGGTCCTTTTTTCTCCTAATTTTTGACGTGGGCCCTTTTTTTTTTCCCGTTACTTTTTCCCGTTCTCTTTTTTTTTCTTTTTGCAAGCGTGTTCCCCACCCCGGATCCCCACGTAAATGCACGTACCCTCCCGCCACTACCTTTAGCTATGGCTACCACCACATGATGTGTCCGGGTGGGTCTTTTTTGTACCTTTTCGCCGTCAAAATCCACCAATTTGAGCGGGGAAACTGGAGAACGCGTGGAAAAAACATGCGAAAAAGTCTTGAAATCGTCAACAAAAACGCGTGTCGCTCTACTCCCTCCACATCTTCGGCGTCGGGCGCCTGTGCGACTTGAACTTCTTGTACATCTTTTGACCCTCAGGCCCAAGTGCACGCGCGTTGAGGTACACGAGGGCATGCGTGTACGCCTTTTTGCAGTATCCCTGCACTACCGCAACCGCCTGTCTGTCCTTCTCCGGTCTAAAGCTCAACGGCACGTTCTTGCGCAACCCCTCGAACGAATACGTGCACTTCTTGCGTGTCCAGTCCTTCGCACGGCCCCAACAGAGCTCGATGGGGTTGCACTCGCAGTGATACTTGGGGAGCATCATGCAGACCCCCCCTTGCCGCCGGAGCAGCAGCACTAGACTAGATTCAACTTGCTTGAAGTCCTTTTGCTCTCCCAGAACATGCTCCATGCTCAAGATGGGGTCGTTCTTTTCGCCTTTGCCCCCCGTCTTCGTCATGCCCGCCCTCAGGAGGCCCCTTTCGAACAGGATCTGCCGCATACCCTTTAGCTTCCCCACATACTCCGCCGGTCTAAGATGCTGGGCGTAGAAGGGCGGGTCGTCCCCCCGCTGGAAAACCAAGTGCTGTGTGTCGCCGACTTTGAAGCCCGGGCACTCTTCCAGAATCGTCACGGCATCCATCGGCGCTAGCTCTTCTCCGTTCCTCATCTGACCGAACCCCACGTTCATGCCGCTTACCCTCGGCGCGCCGACCTCCAAGCAGTCATGGCAAGACGTCCAGTCGAATAGGCAAACCGGCTTGTATTCAGGGTAGAGGACTCCCACCATGTCCAGGACGTCGTTCATGTGGTCCAACATTTTGAGGCCAGTCCAGTACCCCTCCTTGTTCTTGCCGTATTCGAAGAGATGGTAGGACCAGGAGTTTCCGTCCTCGTCGACATGCAGCATGTCGATAGCCCGGTACTTCTCCTCTTTGACGTTCTCCCCTCGTCGAGCTGCAGCAGCTGACTCCCGGCAGCGCATCTTCCGGTTGCGGTTGGCCTGGTCTATCTGGGCCGGCGACGCCGAAAAGAAGCCCACGTTGTGGATGATCGTTCCTGACACCATGATGCCCTGGCCGGGTGACTTCTTCGTCACTACCCGCTGCTCCCGCCTGTACCACGCATACTTCTGATCGTCGTTGGCTGTTGCACGAAAAGAAAACGGAAGGCGGCCAAGGAAACCACAGTGAGCACACGCGCGAAATAACATAAAACGAAAGCATGTGGTCGGCAAACAGCAGTAACAATTAAAATCGCCCACATAGTTCCGCAACTTTACGAAAAAAAGTACTTGACTGCCCACTAACCTCGAAATATGCTCTCGTCCTGGTAAAGAAGCAAGGCCCTCTTCCCATCTGGGTATTTTTTCTTGCTCTGTACTCTGGCTTGCAGATCTTCTGGCAGATCCGCCAACGCTTGTTCTAGATCGTCGACACACACCCAGACACCACTAGAATCCGGCAAGCGGTCGGCCTCCGGCACTTGATGTACATCAATGTCCCAGTCAACCGCTTCTTCGTTCGTGACCGAAATCCACACTTCCATGTGGTCGCGAACCTTCCACAATTCCGGCAGGAACTCGTTGTTTCGGTAGTTGATGGTTTCCGGATCATCATGTCCATCGAAGTAGAGGCCGTTCTTGCCGCCGTGGTACTCGCACCCTAGCTTTTTCAGCCATGTCGTTGCTGTAGAAAGGGAGATGACACGCTTGGGAGGCTCGGGGGGCTTGCCGTCTTTTGCTTCTTGTTCTTCCAGCTGCACTCTCAACCCCTTGAATGGGTTGAAGTCTTCCGTCGCCAGCCCTTCCAGCTGGGGCATGATCTCCTCGTTGACAAACTTGCGGAAGTCTTCCGCCGTCTTGTTGGCTTCCCCGCTCAGTATTCCGCAGTTTACTAGCATCCACTGGTGAACCTTTTCCTTGACGCCTTCGTCGAGTTCCGGCAGAAATTTTCGATCGACGCAACCTCTCTCCGGCGTCTTGATGCCCCCGAGTGATATGAAGTCACGCTCCCACCCGTTCACCGTTTTAACGCTCCGCCGTGCCACGCGTGCGGCGATGTTGATTGCATCGTCACGGGCGACGTCATCGTTCTGGAGGGTGTAGAGATGGGTCAGCGTCATGGCTACCTGGACCACGTGTGCCAGCTGGTAGCTGGACAGGTCCGCTGCGCTGGCCTCCTGTGGGGCGGGTGGGGGAAACAGATAGAGCGGGGAAGAGATGGTGATGAATACACAGCTGTTGTGGACACAAACGACACGCCACAACATTTCTCATGCTTGTGGTATCATACAGTAGCAGTCAGTTTGTTGGATGCACAAGTTGCTACAGCAGTGTTGTACGAGAGGTGCGTTTGGACGGTGTCACAAGTGCAATGGCAGCAGCAGCTTGGTTCAGCAGCAGCTTGGTTCTCAAACCACCCAAAAAAAGTATAAGAAAACCAGAGTAACACACGGCAGAGGCGGAGGAAGAGCAGGTTCAAAAAAAGCAACAACAGCAGCAGTACATGTACCCGAAGCACTCACGTCTTCCTGTTCCGCTGCTCTGCTGATGGCGTTCGTTGCATTCTTCAGCAGGGAACTGAAGTAGTCCATGCTTTCTGCACGAAACTCGTACGCCGCCGCCTTACCCGCAGTTGCTTTGAGTTCTGCATCGCGTGCGAGCTTGATCTTCTTCCTCGCTTGGGACTTGCTGTAGGTTCCCTTCTTCAAGTACTTCTTCATCGCCTCCTCGGACCACTCAGGTTCAAACTCCTTCCACGCCTGCAGCGTTTCTTGCAGCTTCCCCGGGCTCAGGTTGAGTGCGTCCGGAAAGGCGTTCACGAGTTCCTCGCGCAGCTGCACAGCTCTTTCTCGCCGGGCTGCTTTTCCCAGTGCTCCTTTTGGCCGTCCGCTGCCCTCTCTTGCACCGCCACACCCTGCACTTCGCAATCTCTCCGCGCCGCCAGCGCCAGGTTCTCGTAGCGAACCAGGTGCAGGACAGGCCGATCTAACGGCCGGTATAACTCGCGGGGGTGGTGTCTGGACCGCTGCACGCTGGGAAGTCTTTCCAGCGAGGTCTAGCCATGTTTCTCTATTGATGCTTCCCAAAGCTCGGGACTCGGCGTCTCTGTTTCTGCCGCGTGCACACTTCGTGGTGATGGTGCTGCTGTACCACTGAAGTAACGGCTGACTGCTGTGCCTTGCCTTCAGACCAACGCGGTACTTCTTTTGAGCCGATCTGTGCATCTCGACGTCTCCGAGGTCATATTCAGCTGGCAGAGTTGCCCGCACAAGCTGCAGCAGTTCATGTTCAACCACCATGGTCCGTCGCAGATCTGGCAGCAACGGACACCCCGTCAAGTTTGAAAAATGTCTGCCCTCCGCAGACGCTCGGAGGTTCCAACCAAACGTTTTTAGAACCCATTTCTGGCGAGGATTCCAAAAATAGAACGTTTTTTTGCAACTTTTTTGTTTTTCACCGTCAACTTCGCATTTTACCTCCTCCGCCCCGTTTCCGCGAAAACTGTCCATCGAGGCTAACTCGAGCCCTTGATCATAGTTGCAGCCAAAAGAGTGCTTAAACGAAAGCTCTTGATCGTAGCTTTCATATGATATATAGTTTGCTGTGTGAATCGTCTGCGGAGTAGAGAAAAAAATCAGATACCCTCTCAGCCTATTTATGAAAAATACCACTGTACGGCCCTTAAATGCTCGTCTTGGACGGAATTCCTGATGCCCCCGCCCTCCTCCCACTCCACACGACGTGTAAAAGGGCTGGTACCCCAGTGGCATCGCTACGCCTTCGAACATCTTCAACCCTTCCAACGCGCTGATAAAGGCCATGATCGTCACCTCCGGGACGGCGATGGCTTCATACGACAGCTCGGCGGGGTCAACTGTAAGAAGATCGCCTCTCGTCGTTGTCCATGCCCCATATCGTTTAGTGCTTCTGAGCTGACCATGCCAACCGGTAGTGCTGCTTGGTACAATTTCATGGTGTCAGGTAGAGCATGTAGATTGACGTGGTTCCTTTGTCCTGGCACAAGTGGTGTTGGTAGGAGGTACTACCGCCAGGCACGGGAGGTTCGAACCGCGAAATAAGAGCTATGCCGAGCGAGACAAACCAAGTGCCGACGTGACGCCTCTCAGCCGACGACGCAGAGATCTCCCTCAGTTTCACTGAGCAACACGCACCATACTTGCGGGTGCAGCGTCAACTGCTGTGCGTGGTAGGGTCATGACAACGGCAACTTTTTTGACGAGCATGGGCTGGCCCCTACGCCCTATCCTACTCCACAGCAAACCCCAAACTGTCACCCATGCCACCCATGGTCCGCACCGACCGACCAGTCAACAGCAGTATTTTCAGCCAATTTCCCGAATCGTCCCTCCCTCATCCCATCGGGGGTCCCCGTAACGCACCATCTTCCGCTTGCCTTTGCAGACCCTGGGAAGCCCACCAGACGGCATCCAGGGCTTCGGCCGCGTGCTCCTAGACTCCGTTCTGAACGTGCGGGGCTCCGTGGACCTGTTTGTGGAAGACTGGGTGGACATGGCCCACGGGGATGTCAACAGTCACCTCATCGAGATGGACGGGGTTTCCAGTTCGGCATTCGACGGCGATATGAAGGTGAGAGAGGCAAGAGGGGCATGAATAAATGGCCATCACGAAATAGGGGAGGGCGAGAGCATGGAACTACAATACGTACGCTCTGCTGACCTTCCTATCCCCGATTGCGGTTTCATCTATGGCCGGGGGGAACAAACCGCGTTGACATCTTTGAATTTATATTTTTGTTTGTTGATTCCCGGACGGAGACATACGCAGCCATGTCGTCAAAGTCTGCTTTGGCCCTCAACCTCAACAACGTAAACATTCAAATAGGGCCAACTCGCCGCCCCAGCCTTCGCCTGCAAACTCTCCATACCCTCCCGCTTGCTCGCTAAAGTCGCCGCAGGCAGGGTTCAATGACGGGGTACTTCTCGCCCATGACCCCCTGATACAAAGCACCACGACAACCCCCACCATTGCCGTTCCTGTTTCTCTGTGAAAGGTTACGATGGTGTGGATGGAGCCCGCGGGAATTTCTGGGTCTGTGGCACCCGTTTTCAATGACCTCGATCTCAAGGTGGTCGCTTACGATGGCACCTCGGAGAGTACGTTCTACCCCAACAACCTGGCAGCTAAGGACCCCGACAATACGGTGGAGATGGTCGTCATCCCAGACGTCGACTCCTACGAGTGGTTCAATGTGAGTGGGGGTATTATTGTTGATGTTGATTTTAGTGCTGTCGTTGTTGCAGGGTTGTTGTTGATGTTGTTGTTGATATTGATATTGATGTTGTTGTTGTTGTTGTTGCTGTTGTTGTTGTTGTTGTTGTTGTTGTTGTTGTTGTTTGGTTGCAGCTGATGCCGCTCCTGTTGCTCATTTGGTGGCGTATCCGTGCTGCTTTCTTAGGCCAACCCTTGCATCCAACACACCTCGCGTACCTTCCTTTCAGAGGGACTCGACGGTCACAACACAACCCTAGCCCCAACTAAACAAGCGCACGTTTCTCGCGCTCGGTTGTACCTCGCTCGCCACGATAATCTCTTCCTCCTCGAAACAACGAAACGCCTCACCAACAGGTGACGGTCACCGGAGCGAGCGTGACGACGACGAGGCTTCCGTACTACGCCCTCGTAGTGACCGGCGGAGTTGCCGGGGCCTACTCTCCCACGGCTTCCACCGCAAGGTCCTGGTGAGATTTTTTGAGACCAGAGCCGAGCAACAACAACCGGAAGGTCTTGGACCTCTCGTGGTCGGAGAAAGACACACACACCTGCCCCTCGAAAGCTACAGCTCGTTTCAAAGCGGGCCCCGAGGTTTTGCATATGGAGGCTACCGACGACTGTCCTGGTCGGTTGTCATGTTATTTCTTTATTTTACGTTATTCTTCGTGCACGCCTCGTGCGGGATGTTGCATCATTCTGCGTTTCAGTATAGCACCGTACCCACCACAAATCTCCCATAGCCCCGCCCCACGAACATGTTGTTGGTGGTACGTTTTCAACACGGCGAAGCACTTTCGTCGTGGTGGTGGACACCCCGCAGTCCGTTGGAGAAAGACAAGAACGATTACCCACACGAGAAAGATCGCTATACGCTGGTCGAGGAACCGTGGAAATAGAAATTGGCCATCAAACAATACGATGATCTCATTCCTAATATATCCCGGACTCTCATCAGTGGACGAGATGAATTTGTCGTACTTCTGAAAGAAGAAAAAAAACAAAGAACGACGGGCGGCGAAATTTGCTCCGAACGCTCCAGGTGAAGACTTTCTTGGAAATTCTGAAGGTTTCAAAAGACGTTAGGCTCGACACAGCGAGCGGTGTTCCTAAACCGTAGCTTCCAACGGACCAATGTTGGTCAATATCGTGAACGACGTTCGACATTGTGGAGGTTGGGATGGGCTTCTTCCTGCCTTCAACCTTCGTCATTCCTTTGAAACTGCTAACTTATACCCTCGCTTTGACACTGCTAGTGTAGCCCCGTGCTCTGTGGTATTGAAAAGTAACTAATTTGCTGTTCTTGAGAGCAAAAGATGCGACGCATGCCTCGTGTATCCACGTATGGGTGCCGAAATTTTTGCTCAGACGTCCTGAAACATATACGTGGGGGCGGGTGGTGGGGGACGAAAGAACGTTCGAGGTTACAATGCCTCCCTCTCATGACCCCCCCAGGCATGATTCTTTCGGGCTTTCGGAGTGCTTTGAGTTCCAACGCTCTGTAACGGTGATAACTTTTTCTCAAACGATTTCCCTTCCCGTTGCCCAATCCTAACTCGTGGCGAACATCCACACCTAGATCATATATCACGTGCGAAATGACGAGAAATCAGTCCCTCGGGGACCAAAACTCTCTTACTTCCGAACCATCGGATCGAAGAAGACAGCTTGCTCTTTTGAACTACCTCTACCTGCAGGAAGGGGGCATATTTTTACGCCTGCTTCCTACTGAACTCCTCCCCCGTTTCCTGTTTGCATCGGGAATCGCTCGTCATTCTCTCCGCGAAAACAAATGCCAAGGTATGTTCGATGGGAGATGGACATTGACGGGATACCGGTGGCCCAGGTAGCAACCGAGGCCTTCGAAGCCGGCCTAGCGGAGGCCATATCTGCCGAGACCGGCGACTACACCGATGAGACCTCCTCCGTGATGGTAAGAGGGAGAACAAATGTTAGTGTGCGGAGAGCGTCCCACGCGAAGCACCACGGCTCCATCTGTATATTATGTCCCACTATGTTTTCGTTAGTGAATTAGCACTAGTCTCCGACACATACCGCCAACAAAAGCTGTACCGTGAGTGGTGAGAATCACCGAATCATCTGCGGCCTTGACGAAATTAATTTTTGGCATCCGACAACGGTGGTGCCATGGAATTGGAGGCGGCGACTTCCTCGCGCAGACCTTACGAAGTTTGCTGAGGGGCCAGTTCCACCTCTCGTATCAGAAGTTCTACCAACCAAGTTTTGGTTTGCTTTGTAATTTTTGAGAGAAGCAATCGTAGAGTGTTCTCCACCGCCCCTTCCCCCCCGGAAGATGTGCGAAGACAGCAGCACATACACTGAATGATGACATCAAATCGGCAAGAAACCCTGCGATTGAATCACTAAGTTAGTTTGCTCATTTTGACCCTCTTTTGACGGTGTGCAACCCCGGCGTAAGCCCGCCTCCTACTCAAAACCTCTCATCTCGTCCCAACCGACACACACTAACAACCATGGCGAAACACAGGTCAAAATCGACCATTCGACGGCATTCGCGAGCGACGACCGCAGCACGGTAACCGTTGAGATCGTCGTCGCCTCCGAAGCGGACGGCTACGCTGTTCTCACGTACATCATCTCCTTCGTGGAAGGCACCAGCTCCTCGGTGGCAGAGGGCAACCAAGGCCTGGTGGCGGCCCTCAACCAAGCCCTCGAGAGCCGCACCACGGAGGGCTGCGCCTGCGTGGAGGTGCAAGTGATCGACGGGGGGGGCTACGACTGCTCGGCCTGCGAAGAGGGCGCAGTCTTCTCGACCGCGTCGTCCATCACGACGGCGTCGCCGGGCGGGTACGACCTTCTCTCCGTGGATCGATCCTCGGGCCGGTCCCCGGTGTCCATCTTCGCCTCCGCCAGCGACGACTCCGACGCGGACGACGACGACATGTTCTGGAGCGACCTCGCCGGGGGGAAGACGATCAGGGGCATCATCCGGTCTGACAGCTACGTGCACATGGCCGGGGTCGTCATCGCCATCGTGCTCTCCACCTCCCTTGGACTGTTCGCCCTGCGCCGGGGTCGTCTGGACGCCGAGGGCAGGCGTTTGAGCTCGACAAGCGGTAGCGGGCGCGACGGGGTTGTCTCTCCTCGACCGGGAAAGGCGAGGCTCTCGGATGCCGGCACGACGCAGGGTGTCGCCGATAGGAAGGCTTCCGGGAGCAAGCGTCGTGATGATAGCCATGAGATGTTTACGCCTCAGGCCACGCCGGCGCCATAGTATACCCGGCGCGGAGAGAAGGGTGGAAGCTTCCGTGTGCTCTGTATTTTCTGGAGCACCGGTTTTGACCAAATCATGGTGCGTTTGTTGCCAAAACCATGGTGCGTTTAAAGCATTACTGGAGAAAGTCAGGGGTTCCTCAACTTTCCGCGGGGGGTTGGACGGTGTTCAGTGCTCATCAGTTTTATGAAGTCGGCATCCACATATTGTTTAGAGTTTGACGCCGCTGATACTGTGTAGTCTACGCACCATGGGCCTGAACCGGACGTTGGCCTACCTTGAAGGAGTTACTTGCCTTGCAGATGCTTTTCGCGGAGGGTAGTAAGGAGTTTTGAATCTGCCGGCATTTTAATGGCTATATCATGATAGGATCGTGAAAGCATCTTTACATCCGTGGTGGTTGCACAGATGTTAGTCATGGCCCTTTTGTTTCACTCCAGCTTCTTTCTTGGATCTACCGTAAGTAAGCCGACATAAACAAGACTTCGTGTTGGCTGCATGGGAGCTAGCTCACCGAACGAGTATAAATAGCATGGTGCGTTCATTGACCTAAACAATAAGTGAGGTGAAGTCGTTGTCAACTCTCTCTCCTGCAAAGGTAGCAAGTTAAGTGCCGAAGAGGATATGAACGTGGGTTGGTTTCGTTCGCATTGCTACATGCAGTAGAATATTGCAACAACAACAGAGTATTGATAACGATGTCTTCGACGATGGGAGAGGACGCAGAGCTCACAGTTCTGGACATCATAGAGCGAGGTCGAACAAAATGGGGGGTAGGTTCGGAAGAGGTGATTGATGATCGGCTCTATATTTACTCTGTCGTGTTGTTATTGTTCTGGCATTTGTAGCAGGGGGTCGCGGGAAAACACTGTATTGTCTAGTCTAAATAGGACCGAGGTGTGCGACCGCCTCGAATTTGTGGCTGTCCTGATTTGTTGAGTCGTCCACGCACACAGAGGAGAGATCCGAACTGATTTGTTTTTGAGCAACCCGACGATAAAGACTCCCTCCTCTCCCCTCTTGCTTCGTAGGGGTACCGTACAAGTATGATGCCCGTTTGGCAGTGATACTCCCGAAGGATCCTACTAGAGACCACTCAGATTCGAGCGGAAAGATGAGATGGATTGTCCTCACCTTTTCAGTTTGTTTCGGTCTTGAGTGGTCGACACAGCTGCAAGTTGTATGGAGAAATTTCGTATTTACCAAGTGGTGGGCACCTTCTTCTTGTTGTCATGTGGCTGGATCTTTACAGGTAAGTATGGGTTTGACCGTGGACGTCCGTTTTCCTCGCTGTGAAGAGTACGGAGAAGAGGTAGTTAGTACGGAATAGAGGTCAGGGCAGGTATTACTACTGCAGGTACAACGCCATCATAAGTAGGTTTGCCGGTCGTCCCTCTCATATTTGATTTAACGCAGGGGCGCTACAGCGGCAACATTTCCCCATGGGTTTTGTAGACCAAACAAACAACGAAAAAACACCCAGAACCCATGTGTGACGGGTTTCCAAGATCGAGAAAACACCTTCAAGTTTGGTATTACACATGAAGGGCGGGTGGGACAACCTTGTGGTTACCATTGCTTTGCGCAAAGGGAGCCAATCCATCTATACTTAGGGAGATGCCCCCCCCCCTCGTATATTCAAGCGAGAGGAGACTTCTGGCATCACGAAGCCAGCAAAGAAGTAGTAACAGGTTCGTATAGGAAATGTTAATTTATCATCTAATGGGAAGAAACTAAAGGCTGCGCATCGTATCGTGATTGAAGTAGGCTCTTTGACGTCGTAGGACTAGTCAGAGGCCGATGTCAAGCTATACAACCACATACGTGACTTTCACGCGATGGTTTCGTCGCATTCATGATCGGAATCCATGCATCTTCCATATTTACTGCGGTCTGATCGACAGCGTGAATAAATCGACCATATCGTCTCTCTGCTCATTTTGGGAAAAGCTCTCTATTAACGGAACCCAACAACTTCCGACGGCGCCCACCAGAAATTACCCTTCAGATCGTGGCAAAAATTCAGACCCCGACGTAATCCAGGTCTACCGACAGTTACAACCAAACATCCGTCATTGACGGTAGTAAGCTCCCTTCCTCCCCGTACCATATGCGGAGATCTTCAACCTCTCTCATGTGCGCGATAGTAGATCTACAGAGCGCCATGACCGAATGCAGTAGATTGTTCGTGTCTTATTTTACTGTGTGGCTGCGGATCTGGGAGAGATCGGGCAATATATATATATATATACTTCAGTTGGCGGCAACATCGAACAACTTCACATACAAAACATGACTCTATGGTCACCGACTGTGTGAGAGGCGGGTAGACGGACCTCTGTTTTGGGAAGATCGATCGGATGAGTTGATGACCCGTCCAGCTGCCAGACCCTAACTAAACCTAGCTGTGTCTATCATGAGTGGCACCACATACGCACAGCAGCATGCAGTCGACGAAGCTTCGCAGAGAGGGCAAAGCTGTCTCGAAACTGTTTCCGTGCGCCGTGAAATCTTCGCCCCACGGTGAAATATTGCCTTCCCAAGGCAACACTGCTTTGCGTCCTCATCTCGCGTGCATCACACGTTGCTTTCAATGCTTATACACAAGGAAATGCCACCACAAAACGGATAGTCTAGGTACACGAAACGGAACACATGATTCGGGGCGATACGGAACATTGCAACATGAAACGGCGTGGCTGGCGTACCCGCATGTTAGCAAAACACGCCGAGACGATGAACACCATTCTACAGTGGGCGACACGTGACTAGAAATACACTCCGTGGCATGGTTAACCGTCCTATAAAGTTCCTACTCGTGTATCCCACCGCGTGTCTACTTTTGCGATCCGGCGAAGTACCCCATCGCGAAGCTTGGCACCCCCTCGCAGCCGTTTCAAGCGGCTACGGCGGAGAGAACATCCAAGGCAAAGCGGGGCAACCATATCATTGCCACCCACTTCAGGACCCGGTTTCTACCCTCGTGATCCCCTTGGCAAAAGCCAAGCCTCACCGTCGCTCAACGCGAGGCACTAGCACGACCGATGCTCCAACGGGGCCGGAAAAAAAAACGCGACGCCATGAGAAGGTTCTCCCCAACAGACAAAACACCTTCCCGTCCGAACGATACAGAACCTCTTCTGGAGGCAGCGCGCCAACAATGACCCATCGGTAAAATTATGCTCTAGCTGTTCTCCGAGGGCGACGGCGTTGGCGGCGGCGGTGTAGGCGGTGGCGAAAGCGGCGACAACGGCACCGGTGTTGGCGGCGGCGGTGAACATGAGGGCCTGTCCCGAATCGCCCGCTCAGTTTCGGCGAGCCGGCTCGCGATTCGCACCGAGTCCCTGCTCAGGACGCCGATCACCGCCTTCGGTGCCTGCGGCGGCGGCGGCGGTGGAGGCACCGCCACCGCCGCTGGCTCCTGTGCGGCATCTCTATCCTCTTCGCTATCATTGCCTCCATCGCTCCCACTCCCTTCGCCTCTCCTATTTTTGTTCGATCTTCTCCTTGTAAAGGGTGCAATAGCACGGGTGGCAGCGGTCTTGGCGATGGATACCGGAGCCCGCGGTGGAGGAGTGGCAATAGCAGCGCCAGCGGACGGCTCAGGTGACGGTGGTAAGGGCAGGTCCACCACGACGGGCAGGTAGCGGACGGCCTTGAGGGTCATGATCTTCTTTGCCGAGGCGATGTCCATGCTTGCCTGCGGCATGGAAGCGCACGGGGGAGAACGGGAAAGAGCCCATCACTTTCTACGGAAATAAAAAAGTCACTCCTTCCCTTCCGATTCACGCGTTTGGATGGATGAAGATCCACGAAGGCGTCTACTTCTCTCCAGCCCCAACAAGACCACAAGCATACGGCACCGATAATAGAAGGGGTTGAAAGATTGACACAAACCATATTGTATCCTCGAGATTCTTGACCCCACCATGTGTCCTCCCGTTCAACTCTCCCACCTTGACGGTGAAGCAATTCTGTCGGCACACGGTCCCCGCCGTGAGCTCCGGCCTGACTTCGTCCTCCGAAAAGCTCGCCCGCTCCCGGTCTAGCGCGAGGATGATCTCACGTAGTGCCAGAACGCCGACCAGCTTCAAGTCGCGCCGTTCCCACAGGTCCTGCATTGCCATGGTCATGTCATGCCATGTCGGCAACGCGGTAGGGGGAGGGCGGTCGTCGTGCAAATACGGTAGGGGGCGGGGGGGGGTAGTTCATGAATCTCTTACCGCCGCACGGGTAGAGTCAACTACGTAAAAGGCACTGCTGTTGACTGGTGTTAAGATGTGCCAAGTTTGGCTCATCAATGAAACACAACGGTAGCGACGTGTAGGGTAAAGGGGGCGAATCCTTAGCATACTGCTGTAGCCTGCAAATGATTTACGAGAGGTACGCTATGGACGATGTAGTGCTGGTCGAAAAAGCGCAGAAATAATCCGGTCAGGTAGCCTCATTCTTCAGGAAGACTCCTGCAACGATGATGAACAACAACGCTGAGCGGCGAACGCTACACTTCGCGCCTAACTTCACCACAAACCAAACTGTGCACACAAGGCCACCCACACTGGCTCGACTTTAGCACCACCCTCCCAGAGTGTCAAGCCTCATTGACACCCATGTTAGGCACGCGCTACGCAATGAACTCATCTCCATCGTCGAACCCAGCCGCTGAAAACGATGAAAACAACTCCCCATGGATAAACAGGTCCTGCCACAACACCTCTTCAAGCAGGACCCCCCCCCCCCCCCCCCCCCCCCCCCCNCCCCCCCCCCCCCGCATGTTATTTCTACGACCCCCTCAGAAAACCGTATCTTTCTCGCACCTCGGCCAGAAGAGTCTGTGCGTGCCAGTCGGTGGTATCCCCGTTCGTGCCCGTCTGCCCGGTAAGCCGCCCCCTGTCCTCCCCCCCCGACGAATCCGACGGCGCCTGGTAGGTTTCGAAACCCGAGCTCGACACGACAACAGCGAACTCGTTGCGGGTCAGGCGGAAAGCTCGCATTGCCTCCGGGAGAGGTGTGTCGGCCGTCAGGGCTAAAATTCGGGGCACTAGCGCGTCCGTCACCTGGCAAACAAAAATAGGGTGGGGGGGGGGGTATACCCGTTCAGCTTTCTGTGAGTCTCACGTATGAGAGGAAAGGAGTGGGCGAGGGGGGGCAGGCGGAGGGTAGAGGTTAGAGATCTGCCCCGTCGGGCCGCAGGCAGAGGCAGAGAAGGTCATGGCACCGGAAAGGCTTGGACGAAGGAAGGAAGGATGGTGTCCACAGATGGCATGAAGTGGTCGGGGCGGGTGTCTCTGTGCATAGGCCAGTTTTGATATTCGTTTGCTCCCGGGGTCGATGGTTGGACCGAAGAGTGGGG